CCCCCAAAACCCCAAAACCCCATTAGTTTTATTCATGGTCATTTGGTAAAATAATCAAGAGACATTAGTGGAACAATGACAAAAAGACAAGAAAGATGTTGTTTTAAGAAAAATTATGGGATATTTAGGTTCTAATGATAATCAAAATTTTAATCACTCACTAGTTGAGCTGGTATCAAGTTCTTTCTCCTCTGATTCTTCTGGCTAGCTATATATCCTTAGGCATAATTGTCACTCTCTTAGCGTGGATGGCACACAGATTGGTATCTTCAAACAAACCGACTAGGTAAGCTTCGGCTGCTTCCTGAAGGGCCAAGACTGCCTAGCTTTGGAATCTCAAATCACTTTTGTATTCCTAGGCGATTTCCCTTACTAGTCTCTGGAAGGGTAATTTTCTGATAAGAAGTTCAGTCTATAAATGAACGTGAGTAAAAGAAAATTTATGAGGTAGATGGAGACAAAATGTTGGGTGTGACTTACAGATTTTTAGAATCTTCTGATCTCTCTTAATGCGACAGTGCCAGGTCTGAATCTATGGGGCTTCTTGACACCACTGACAGCATTTACATTAGTGCTCTTTCTTGCAGCTTTGTTAGCGAGTTATTTTCTTGGGGCTTTAGCACCAGTGTTCTTTCTTGCTGTTTGCTTTGTTCTTGCCATAGGTTTGTTTAGTAGTCTGTAAATTTATTACTATAGAATAAATCGGTCTTGGTGGATCTTATTTAATAACTCTAGCTCAGAGACTAGGGCACAAGGCATTAATTTGTAGGCACAAATCCTCTTATCACTTAAACTTCTAAATATAAATCATTCTTCTGCAGTGAAAAGTCGTTTTTTTAATTAGGGTTATCGGATTTTAATTTGGCTAGAGGATAAAGCTCTCTATAAACAATTCTTTGCCATGAAAAGAAATTATCAGGAAAATTTTTGTTCTCGGGAGCTTTCAGGCATTAATATATAGGGAGGTACCCTTTGGAGATTTCAGGTACTAAGGCTCTGAAATAAATTAAAAGTTTATAGATTTTATAATTCTCATAAATTGGTTGTTATTTAAAACCTTATAAATTTCAATATATCATCTAAATACTAAGTGAGCCTCCTATGATGTAATCAATCATTTCTTTGGTCATCTCCATCTTTGGCAGCATCAGCTAAGTCACTAGTCCACAATGTGAGGTTATCTCTAAGTAATTGCATGATAGTAGCTGAATCTCTGTACTCATCTTCCTCGAGACCATCAAGGTCAGCAATGGCATTATCAAAAGCACCCTTAGCCAATTTGCAGGCAATATCTGGGGAATTCAAGATCTCATAGTAGAACACTGAGTAGTTAAGGGCAAGACCTAGTCTGATTGGATGAGTACTCTTCAGTTATTCTGCCTCTGTTGTAGCAACCTTATATGATTCTTAGGCCTATTAGATAACAACCTTACGCCTAATTTTTGTTAAGAGATGAATTTTTTAATGAGATAATACAAAAATCATTTAGAACGATTTTCGTTAGAGTATGAATAATTTTGATGATTCGAAACTTACTTCTCAGCTGAAAGGAATTCTCCAAGATATCTATAGTAATCTCCCTTCATTTTGTAGTAGAAGACCTTAGCCTCTGGGTTTTTGGAGTTTGGAATAAGTGGGTTATCGAGAAGCTTAAGCACATCATTACAAATGTCTTCTAGCTCCTTCTCAATTTTTTGTCTATATCCCTTAATAAGATCTACAAATCTTGAACCCTATAGGAAGAATAAATATCAAATGCTGATTAAGAGGGTTTTTAGAAATAATCTATATAAGCACGATGCTTACCCTGTATTCTTCTTTTTGTTGAATGGCAGAAATAGTTCTCCATGCAGCTCTTCGTGATCCAACAGAGTTCTTATATGCGACTGATAAAAGATTGCGTTCTTCATTTGAGAGCTCTTGTCCACTCTATAAAAAAGATTAATATACTTTTGCAGGAAAATAGGATTGTTATATAGATAGAGTAAGAGAAAATAGTACGAACATTTGAGACTTCTTTCATATATTTGATCATATCTTCATATCTCTCTCCTTATTCAGCAAGTCTAGCGTAGTAAATATTATCTTCTCTTGTGTTCATTTTTCTTTCAAACTTAAATTAATAATTTATACACTTTCAAATTCAAAAATATTTAGAATAAAGGGGTTTTGGGGTTTTGGGGAGATCGGAAGAGCACAC